TTTCTACACCAAATAGCGTTTTTCAATAGCTTCAATTTGATATATAGCTCAACGTTCAGTGTTGAGTATTTCTGCTCATAACTCAGAAAAACTAAAATACACTGGCTTCAATTTCCCCCCCTGAGTTAGCCTTCCAGTTTATTTATAGTTCAATGATTCAGACTAGTTAGAAATTATCATAATTATGCTAATTTATGCATCAATTTGATATTGTCAATTCGTTTTGAAACTCATGCGAATTTTTTTCTATTTTAGAACTAGTTTGGCCAATTCCATGTTACCTATTACCGCTAAGTTAACAGGGACTAAAGTTTTTTGCTGTTACGTTACGTTACGCAAAGGCTAGTTGGCTGTCAGCACGTTGTAAATATAGAGATTGTGTAATTATTTTCAATCATTATTTGTTCAATAAAACTTGTCAAAGAGGTGTAAAAAATAAATAAATTTGCCAAAATCGTGTAATTCGTATGAAAAAGATAAACCGAAAAATTGGTTGATATTAGCCTGCAAGCAGGCAGGATGGAAAAGTTATGTTACCATGGCAATCGATTCGTTTACCAAACCATGCTCGAAGAGGAGCATGGTATAGCAATGGCCGCCGAATTTTCACGAGAAAATGACAAATTTCGACTTCAAAGCCGTTTCTGGCAACGGCCCATCGCCTCCGAAAGTCGCTTTTCACACATGCTCTGTAGTACAATACAAGCTGTACATTTTTGGCGGGTTAGATGACAAGAAATGTGTACAAAACGGACTATTTTGCTTCGATACTTCTTGCAATGAGTGGACTGAACTGACTCGAGTTGAAAGTGAAGCTAGTTCAAAAGCAGGACGATTTGGCGGTTTTCGGATATACGAAGCGCCAAAACTCAGTCACCACACAGCTAATGTGATAGACGAACGTCTTATAATATTTCTTGGCGGTTGGACAGGCCATAAAAGAAGTTCCGATGTATATTATTACGACACTACAGAGAATACGTGGTTTCAAATTCAGACCAGGGGAGAGATCCCCGCAGGACTGAGCTCTCATACAAGTACTCTAGTCTCGGAAAGTGAACTGCTTATTATCGGACGGGAGGGCGGGGTAAGGACGCAACGACGGTCCGGCGACGCATTCCATTTCAATGTTAGAACCGGTGTATACAAAGAAGCGCAAATGCATGTTTCGTCTCGGTCTGGGCACACTGCAAACCTTGTAAAAACCCACCTCGGGAAAAGCTATGTATTATTTGTACAAGGTGGTCGAAAAGGTGACAATCACCAGCTTATTGGTCGCTGGAATAAGAAGCCCGAACAAGGAACCGTACTTGGAAATGATAAAATAGCAGATCCACTTTCAAAGTGGGTAGCATGCGATAAGCCTACGGGAAGACAACACTGTGTGTCGGTTGAGCTGAACGATAGGCACTTGTTATTTTTCGGAGGCGAAACGTGGAGCGGGGTGCGGAATAATGTTACCAACGAGGTGTATATTTTAGATTGTTGCAAGATGAAGTGGCATAGGCCTGGGGAGGTAAGGGGGGCGGTACCATGCCTAACTGGACATACCATGGGTATGGTGGGTGACAAAGTGTATATTTTTGGTGGGTTGTTAGATGGTAAATGTAGTAATGGTATTTGGATGGTGAATTTTTAATGCCAGAAAAAAGTGTACCATACTCAACTGGTCATACCACAGTATGGTAGGTGACAGTCTGGATGGTGAATTTCAATGCCAGATAGAGAGGTGGTATACCATATTATTTTTTGTATGGTAACACTCACAGAATGTTTGGTACATTGTTATGCTGAAAATGTAATGATGGTGATGTTTGGATGGCTTGCAACTATTGACAAAAAATGAACAAATACTTTTAAACAAAAAGAAAGTACACTTATAACTTACATGTATTTACATCAGCTAAAAATTTTACAATCTCCATCTAACTATACATAAACATCTTGGGCTCGTTACAGAGTTTTATTTACAATGTACAATATGAATTAAAGTTCTATCAAAATGTTCTACTGTTATCTTCTTGTACGGGCGAAATGGGTCACACTCGTTTTTGGTCGTAAAGCTGGGAAGTAAAGATTAATAAAGTTATTAAAATTTAACTTATCAAAGATTCTGTGATCACAGGGAATTTTGCATGGGTAAAGCCCGTTCTCCACTACGCGAATTTGTTCGCGCGACGCGAAGCGAAAACCGAAATCCGGCAACGTGATTGGTCGGCGAAAAAATTCGCGGCGAAAAAGTAGGATCGCTTCCTACTTTTTATCTGTTCGCGCGAATAAATTCGCCTAGTGGAAAACGGGCTTAAATTCTAAGTTTTGGGGAATTTGTAAGAAATGTCTGAGGGAACTTGACTTACTGACTCAGTGTTATAAACAATGAGTCAGTTTCCTCAAACGCTTCTTACAAATCCTTAAAACATATGCAAAATTTCTACTGTGATCACATAAACTTTGATAGTGTAAGCCACCAGTTCCAGCAGACAAAACAAAAACACACATAAGGGTATGTTGTGCACTTAATATTTGAATTATCAACAAGAGACCAATATGCGTGGTATGATTTTGAAACAATATCGAAATATAACCATGTGTTGTTTTCTACAGTCCTCAATTCTAAGTTCGTGGGTTCGATTCTCGCTACGGACTCGTGTGAAAAGAGTCAGTCAACGCTTTGTCGAAAGTCGTGTGTTTTCTCCATAGAAATAATAGACAGGTCTAATATTTCTCTATGGTTTTCTCCGAGTGCTCCGGTTTCCTCCCACAGGGAAAGTTGACAGGGTGGGTTAGGATAAACACAGTTAAGAAAGTAATACCACAATTGTTGTAAAAATATCAATAGTCTAGGCTACGTATGTAATTACGTAAGCGTATAATACTTGATGTAAATACAGTAAATCTGATCATATCCATGCACATAAAAATTTTCGCTATAGAAATGTTAATCTTATTCTTTCAATATAAATTCCTCTGTACCTTGATCAGCGTCTTTACCCGTCGTCTTTTCTTGTTGAAAATCTGTCTTGTCGTTCATCAAACAAACTTCTTGGCTTTCAAAAAATCCTCCGCCACTTGAAACGATATTAAAAACTTTCTGGTTATTCTCGTATGAGGTATTGAGAACTGGGAACGAACTATTTCTGGTTGAGAAAATTTTGCGCAGAACCGCGATATCTCTTAAATAGAAACTAATTTCACCAAAGATTCTAATTTGTCTGAATGGAATCGAATCACTTGATGAAAGCTAAATTTGTGGATTTCCCAAGTTCGGCAAGAGTTCAATCTCCATTTGGACAATCAAGCTTAATTGCTGTTCCTGGGCTACTGAGGACAATGGACAACAAAAGAGATAAACAATGTGAAACACAACCCCTTACTTTATGGCATAAGATTTTTCCTTTCTTCCGATCGTCTCGTCATCTGTGAACAAGATGGCGGCATATGGTACAGACATATTCATGTTTGGTAGAATTCCTCTGGCCACAGTTGGCACTTGAGGAAGAATTCCATTAAATACCAGCAAGTCATCAACTAGAATCTATAAAAAAAAATGTATATTTATCATTGCGTCGAATTTTTTTGCTGAAAACGTAATCTGGTTCCAATCAAACGCCCCAAGTAGGACCTTTGGATAAATGTTATTAAGATTTATCGCTTGGAGTTTGTATTTTGAGTACGAGTGAATACTAAAGCAATTAGACAATTCGGCCTCGTTGTCTATGGTGAATAGTCAACTCAGAACAGGGTGCGCTAATTCAAAATTTGACGTCGTACCTCACTGGTACATTTTGCTGGTACCATATGACCTTACCAAGCCGTATAATTGTAATTAAAAGTTTAGAAGTTTTACTTTAAAAGTCATACTTAAAAGTCGGTTCACGGGTACGTCTGACATCATGTCTTGAAAGGAAACGTCACTTGACCGCGCCCTGGTCAAGCGACGTAAGATTTCATCGCGGGACGAGTAATTTTCAAAATACACAGTGATGATCTCTACAATCTCTATATAAATCTCATCTCTATATAAATCTTTCAGTTCCTAAACCACGTACTGAATATTTAAAAAAGAGTTTTGGATATAGCGGGGCTGTTCTATGGAATAGTTTACCTACGCAGGCAAAGCAAACAGAATCTTTAAGTAGCTTAAAAAATTTGATAAAATAATGTGTGCTACAGAATCAGGCATCGAATAGGGTTTTTTAACTTTTTTATCTACGTATTTGTTATTCTATGTTATTCTATTTCATATTTAATTTATATTAGTTTTTAGAATGTAATTTGTGTGACGCCCCTCATGAAAATCATCCATGGGTGATGAGGGAAGAGTGGTTAAATAAAGTTTTACTATACTATACTATACTACAACTTACTGAAAATTGTCGAACTCCACGGATTGGTGTTTTGCGATAGTTCCATAGTTTTATCATGGATATTGTGGTCGGCTCATCGAATATCACATACAACAAATTAGTCTGAAATTAAAATAGGACTTACTATATAACTAATAATCTTAGAAATCTAATTATACAGTTGCTTGAAGATTATGAATTTTACCTTCAAACTGTGCCAATGACACCCAATCTTTTGTCTTATCGTGTCATACAAATTGTTCTTCCATGACAATTTTTGAGGCAAATGTTCAGTGCCGTTGTGTATGTGTTTTTACCTCTGTAACCTGGTTCGATTCTCGAAACCTCGTACCCACGTGCACCAGAGCCTTTAAACACGGGGACCCTGGGTACGAGGTTGCGATTCTCGCAGTAGGCAGTTCTCTGATTATAAATTCGTCTCAGTCCGTTAAGGCCGATTTACACTACATAACTTTTGCCGCGCTTACGTTGTCGTAAGCGAGTCGTATGCTTGATTTACACAGTACAACTCAAGTTGTACGCAGGTTGCATGCGACAGTTTTTGGCAAAAGTTGTGTATGTAAATCGGCCTTTAGTTGAATGTAAAAAGAGTGCTTTCAGTTTGCCTCTATCAAAGTCACCAAAAACATCACAGTTCTAGCATTAATTTATGAAATCTTTAATTTTGTAATCTGATTTTCAAATCTTACCAGTCCAGGAAAGACTGGAACCAACCACATGTGTCGACCATCGTCAGTATCATTGACTCCATCAATTAACTTTGCTGGGGTTCTCACATCATCTTTGACTCCTTCCAGAATGTTAACACTTTCAGGGTACGCCGTGACATCTTGGTAAGTTGAGGAAATGAAACGGAGTTATCGACATTGCTCATTGGTGAACTAATGATGGTGGTGATGATGATGGTTATGACTGGGGTTGCTATGATGTTTGTTATGGTTATGGTGGTGGACAGGATATTGTTGGTAATGATGGTGGTAGTGATGGTGGTAGTGATGGTGATGATGATGGTGGTAGTGATGGTAGTGATGGTAATGATGGTGGTAGTGATGATGGTAGTTATGGTGGTAGTGATGGTGATGATGGTGATAGTGATAATGGTGGTGGTAGCGATGGTAATCATGGTGGTGTTGATAGTGATGGTGGTGGTAGTGATAATGATGGTGACGATGACGGTTATGGCGGGGTTGATGGTGGGGCTGATTGTGGGGTGATGGTTGTTATGTTGTAATAATAATAGTAATAATAGTAATAATAGTAATAATAGTAATGACGATGACTGCTGATTGTGGTGGTAACAATTCTTGTACTTTCAGATAAACTAATTAATTTCAAAAAACAAAGGATACTCTTTTGGCTTAGTTCTATCAACGTTCCTTGCTCATCAAAAAACTGCAATCCATTGAGACCAAGATAATAAGGATCACCCCATGATCCGAACAATTGAAACTGAAATACGACTAAACAAAACATGTCAAGGAAAAATTAAACTCTATATGATACATGTATACTTGACAGATCATTAACTGGGATATGCACTACAGCTGCATGAAATGTGCGCAATAAACCTATCAGCACTTTCTGTCCCTCTTTATTTTACTTTCTTGCCCTGAAATACATGAATGTCAAACTTGAGATAAATTACATATTCGTTTCAAACATTTGAAGGATACAGCCGCATGGCTTAACCGTAAGTTCACAATCACCAGTGGCTTTGTCATTTCTAAACAAAAAAATAAAACCGCAACCTTTTAAATAAACACCAAAACTAAACTGAACTAAACTAAACTGAGCTGAACAAAATTATTAAACTCTTTCTTGCTACGACCAAGAGATGTGTCTAATATTGAATAAATAAATAAAGTTTCTAAACATACGTTACTGCATTGAGCTGTTTCGCTTCAGGCTTTCTCGGCGGATTTAGGAATGAAATTTCTTGACCAAAATCAAAATGGCAATGACCAGTACCTGAATGTAAAAAAAATTTATATTTGTCAGAAAACGTAACATGTAGTGCGACGATCAGGTAATTCTATACAAACCTTTTCTGATTAAAATTCCTTCTTTGCTGCCAATTATTCTTTCATCAAGTTTGACGACTATCCTTTTGACCTATAACCAATATTCATGGCAAGAATTAGCTCACGGGCTGAACAAGCTTTAATATGTTATATAATGGATTGATCTTGTTTTATATAGCACTACAGCAGGACCGAATAAAACATTTTAATTCAGTCGTAGTATTGACAAAAATTAATCGGCTAACTGTTCATTCCATTGCCATCTATAATATACTTGCAGGTCTACTGAGATACTCTTCTGAGTGGTTAAACACGGCGCGAGCTGAAAGATTGCTTGACTGTGTCACTGTGGTGGGGATCGAACCCACAAGCAATCACTAATCATAAATTATATATACAGATATCAAAGAAACTAGACTATATATGCTCCAAGATACCATCTACTCGAACCAACTTCACCTCGTACATGTAGTTGTTCGAGCATTGGACTGCCAAACCAAAGGTTGAGGGTTCGGTACCCACCACGGTCAAGCAATTGGCGTGGGACGACTCAGGGTAGTATCACCTCAATTACTCGTGGATGTTGATTTTTTGACATGGTGTATACCGATGTTTTCTGGGGGTAGAACTACACCCCCCTCCCAGGAAACCTACTTATATATGCATAGGCGTACGGGAAGGAAAAAATTAGGGGGGCAGAAAGAAATTTGCCCGACTTTTTCGAATTGTGCCCGACCAGTGCCCGAAAATATTTTTTTCCGGAACAATAAATTTTGGCGACCCCCCCCCCTCCCCAAAAAAAATTCGGTCAGTGTACCATTTTAGGGGTCGAAAACTTTTTCGGACATACCAAAATTTTTCGGAACATCAAACAAATTTCCCCAAACATCACAGAATTGACAAAATTTCCCGCAAAATTGGCAGAATTTGTCCCATTTATTTTTATAATAACCCAATATTGCCCGACTGTGAAGCGAATATTGCTCAACTGGCTTGGTTTGCCCAACAAACTGGGCCGGTATTACTACGAGAGATTTTATTGCTTTGACTACTTTTTCCCCGACTTTTGCCCGACTTTTGTTGAACATTTGCCCGACTTTTCGACTTTGTAATCTTTTTTTTTTGGGGGGGGGGCAGCTGCCCCCCCTGTCCCATACGCCTATGTATATATGACCCTTAAAAATATGAAATATGACCCTTATTGAAATATGACCCTTATTGAAATATGCATACCCCTCTATAAGTACTTTCTGGAGATTTATTGTAGTTCCACACACGTAGTCCAGTGATTTCCATGGGTTGTTTCAAAGTGATGGTCAACAAATGATTTTCACCAAGAGTGAATGGAATTAACCACATATGTTCGTCACTAGTCGTTATATTCACATCATCTATCACTCTATATTTGAAATTAAAAACTTATTTAATTTATCGTTCTGTTAAGCAATATTAGGAATTGCCCAGTCGAGGATTGAGTCCCAACGGACAAAACGATTCGTGTTTCAGTTCATAGAAAGTACTCTCGGGGCTTCGTCAATACAGTGAAATACTGTACAGTATAACATGCTATGTATATTTTTCCTGAATATTATTCATACTCACTTGTCTAATGTCCGATCATCGTCATCGTATTCCGGTAACTCATTGAGATCTTTGGGGCACGCCTGCAACAAATATACACAATACAGTTTTTTTTGGATAGCTTATACTAGAGGGTCATGCCTATTGATCCAATTAGGGATCGATCCAGCCAGATCTGATCATGGGTCGATCCCTGAAATAGCATTTTAAGATGAAAATACCTGCAGCATATCAAATGTGAGATCAATCACTTCGCCTTGAGTACCAAGTATTTGAAGCCCTGTGAGACCAAGATAATACATATCTCCCCACGTCTCGACCAAGTTCAACTCCAGCACTGAAACACAATGTAATAGGAATGCTCAGATGCAGGATCTTACTTGAGAATCCTGAGCTGGGCATGCAACCTTGTCAAGAACCATTTCCACAAAAATTAAATGTATGCTAGTTACCTTGTCCAAAGAAATTTTTAGCACAGTCATCTTCTCCATCTATTATGTCTTCTAGAACGAAGCAAAAAAATGTTAATAAAGTGCTACAGGACTAACAAAAACTATCCTGTTGAAATGTTGGTGCGTTGTGGTAATACCAACATGCAGATCACACTGATGGCCATTGCTGATGAACGTCAAACAAAAAAATAAAAAAATATTTTCCGACCTACCTACCGTATGTTTTTTTCATGACGTATAAAACTGGAACCACGGGATTTTTTTGTTATATGTAAACCCTATATAGGTTCTATACTACAAACAAAAATCCTATAACATACCTTCAATAATTTTATTTGGATAGGTGGACTCTACTGTTGGTTTTCGCCGTTCTTTAGGACAGGTATATGGCCGTTCTAACGTTTCCTAAAGATTATTGTAATTTACAATAGATAAAATAAGAAAGCTTTGGATGCCCCTCCCCTCCCCCCCCCCTCCCCCGGGAGGGAGAATGTTCCATTCAACTCGGCTGTCGCCTCGTTGAATGAAACATTCCATCTTACACCTCATGAAAATATTCTTACCATTGCACGAATAAACATTCATTATTTGTATACTATGTGACTACTCATCCTCTAGTTATTCAAAAACAGCATTGACACTCAAGGGAAGCTCGAGTCTCTCCGGTAAACGCACTTACTGTTTCGACACCAGTGTCAGCTGTAACGGGTCTTCTGAAATTATTACTGGTCTGCAAGAAATCTTCATCTTCGTCGACATCTGGTTCATAGGTTTGATCATTTGCTGCCATCGCTTCCAGAATTTCTTCATTCATTGTGAATAATATTGTCTGAAATAGAAAGCATAGCAGAAAATTAATAATATTTTTGTTTCTGGGATCCTAAGTTTTGGGGTCAAAGTTTTCCACCAAATTCACTAATAGTCTTCCTAATATCGCAGGAACATTCATCCACATGTTGTACTTTATGGTTGAGTTGGAGAACGAACCCTTTAACTTTTATTGTAAAAGATGAAACCGTATAATTTTCAACAGATCTCTCTATTTAAACCGGGCCAGTCAATCGTGTGAATTTTTTCCCTTATTCTTTTTCTAATTTTTTCTTGCAAGAGGAAATCAAATCTCAATAAAAATTGTATACATACATCCCCAAACGTCTCTGATGATCCAAGTTCACCACTCGCTCTAAAAGATAAACGAGCGTGAAAGAACGAAAAAAGACAAACCTCATTTATTGATACATCATAACAAACCTTGCCATCTCTCCACGAAATATCAAATTATCATCTAGAAATACTTCGATATCTTTCGCTCCACGAAACGAATGAATCCTTGACTTGTTGTAATTCTATAAAAACAGCGTGTGTTGCGTTAAAATTTATATCGCTTGCTGTCAACACTCTGCCGAAAGTCGTGAGTTTCTCGTGGGTTTTGTCCGGGTGTTTCGGTTTCCTCCCACAGGGAAAGTTGACAGGGCTGGTCTAGGATAAACATAGTTAATTTCTAGACAAATTTTCAAGACAAGTAAGCAATACGAGTGAGCATAATACTCAGGGATGGATCCAGCATGATCTAGTAGGGGGGGGGGGGGAGTGCTCTGCCAGCTCTGGTGCCGAATTGTGTCGGTCGTGTGCGCCGCCCGCCCATCAACATACTGTATTTGAATTGTAACTGTTGTTCACAGTTCGCTTGTCATCATGATGCTATTGCTCAAATTACTGATCTCATTTTGTCTCTAGCCAGGGCTAGGGAGGTGCGCCCCCCCCCCCCCCCCAGTAAATCCATCCTTTATAATACTTGATGTCGTCGGTCACTGAAAAGCCCCCAATGGGGAGTGAGATGAATAAAGTAGGTACATATGTATGTAATTTCTGGAAGTCCCAAACTGACATCAAACCTAATTATCATGATTCTGGGCATCTAGTTCGAAAAGAAAATCTATATATCATTTTAGACCTAGACACTCAAACTCAATGGTCTTAGGAATTACAGAGTATTTTCAAGATCGACTTACCCATATCCGAATCATGGCCAACGTAGAGACCTCCTTGAATTCGATATAAATAAAGTGATTCTTCCCTTCTGTGAACGGCGCCAGCCATAGATGCATGTCGTCCCTAAAAATGAAAATCCAAAGTATCACACCTCGGAATCAGTTCTTCATGCCACAACAACTTGTAAACAAGCCATAAATTCAGTACACAGCAAAAAATCATCTCCTTATTTTGAGAAATAAAATACTTATTTTGAGAAATATTTCTTAATAAAATAAGAAAATTTGCTCATGAACATATTACAGGCTATTGGTACATATATGAGCGTGCTCATGAGGATACCAAAATCCGATACGCTCATAAACTCGCTCATATCTACACGAAAATCATAAACTCCTGCGTAGGCGGATTTCCTCCGTGGACCAATAAGGGATGCCCTTACTAGACCTATCACTAGTGTAAACAAAGTTATAGTTTAGTTTTACCTTGTAAAATATACTCCGTCGATGAGGTTAGACACAACTCTTGGATCCTTGTTGTATTCGGGAAGAATGTTGATATCAGAAGGATCGGCAGTTATCTAAAATTATTAAGATTATAATAGAGATTGAGTTTACTTGAACCACCATGGGTCAGGGGTAGCTATCCCCAAGGTGGGTGGATGGGTGGTGTAGGTTGGTTAGATGGGTGGTTGCGTGGGGTGGGGTGGGGTAGTTGGATTGGGTAGTTGGGTGGGGTAGTTTGTAGGGTAGAACCCGAGGGCTGGTTGAGGTGAAAGTCCCGCCTATTTTAGCCTTTACATTTCTGTAGAACACGGCTCCAGAAAACTCTGCTAGTGAGTTGGAAAATTGTAAACAATTACTCAGCGAGTGTTTTACAATACTGAAGCTAAATTACACTTACTTTTGATATCTGCACAGGTTTACCAGCACTGTTAAAAACCTCAATTCCATTCAAGCCAACATAATATTGATCTCCCCAGGTTGTCAGAATATTTATCACAAGACGTTGGCCATTGGGAAGCTCAGGAATTATAAAGTCATCGATAAAACTAAAAGATATAATCATCATGTTTCAAACCATTGATTGATTTATTGGTACAGTTATCGATTGGTTTGCGAAATACAATACACACGTGACGATGAACCGACCATTTCTTGTACGAGGTCTATTATGTCTGCATTGAGTTCCTTAACCTTCTCATTCCATTGACTATGGTCTAGTTTAGTTTACTGGACTCGAAACACACATTACCTTGGATTGTCGATATCAGTCTCTTCTTCACTGTTTCTTTGACGATCTGGTCTTAGTAGAGCGTCTAAAGCGTCCCCTAGAAATATTATTACACATTTCTTTCGATGTGTTCCTTCACAAAGTTTCACGTTGTTTTGGTTTTGAAAACTTCACTAGGTATGGACAAGTTTTAAAAAGCAGTGGTGGATCCCCCTTAAAGAAAACTCTGGTATTCCATATTAAGTTTATATTTGCCGCTTTTTGAGTTGCGAATACTACATATTATATTGAAACGATTGATTTTCGAGTACGTGAGAAAATATTGAAACACCAATACAATGAGTCACCATATAACGTAGCACTTTTCTTAAGTACTGTGAGGACAAATTTAACGAATAAACGTAGTGCTCTGAATGCATGAAATGACATTTAGGGCTTCAAATTTCATAAATTTTCCATGGTGAGAATGCCCCATAGTAATGTACCCCCTCTGGAAAACCTCCATCCCCTCTAACAAATGAGGCCAGATCGGCTCCTGTTTAATAAAAAACTTCATAGGTGACTGTTAAGACCCATTTCACTCAGGAAATTTTTCCGCAGAAAGAAAATTTTGTTAAATGTGATTGGCCGACACAAATTTTCCGCCGGAAAAATTTTGAAGAATTTTCGGAAAATTTTCTGTCCGTGGAAATTTTTCTTGAGTGGAAATGGGCCGTAATACTTGGCACTTGGTCAACCCTAACCTAAATCTTAAACCTAATCCTTAACCCAAACTCTAACCTTAACCCTAATCTAATCTTAACTCTAAAGGCGTAATCCACACTGTGTTCCTCTTACTATCCGCTAGTATACTCACCTTGACGATCCATTTCTATTTTATTCGACGGAGTTATTCTTCCCTGATGACATCGTTTGAACTGTGAGAGAGAATTAAGAGATTCTTCTAACCATCGTTCTTGTTCACCTGGATTCTCTTCGGGTGATACTTCACCGACACTGCGAGAAAAATATTATATTGTTCGCTATAGTTTTGATTTGGTCAGTTTATGCAACTCGATAGGGAGTGCGGATTGAAAGTGTAAAAAAGAGTGTGGGGAAACAATTTTGGGAAAAAATGGGAAATTTTTCAGTGCAAACAAATGTGGGGAAAAAAGTGAGAAATTCTTGGTGGAAAAAATATAGTACTGAAAAAAATATAGGATACACGTGCATCTTTATACAATTCCTGAAATATGAAGTTGTCTTGTTATAATTTCAATTCAGTCACAATAACCACATTTGAGAAGCGTTTTTTTTTCCAGTTTTACTCTCCCAGCCGATTGAGGTTTCTTTTTGTAGCAATACTGTAGGATTAAAGGTCGTTATTGGACTTCTGAGGGAACAGTTTAGAACTGACAGAGATGACCAGTATAAGTAAAGTTAGTTTAGTTTAGGTTTCCACCCGTAGTAACACAGGGCCAAAAATGGGACGATCATTACCGGACCTCTATAAAGTAAATTCTAAGTTTTGAAAGGATTTGTAAGAAATGTTTGAGAGAACTGAGTCACTGTTAAACACCAAATCAGTTCCCTCAAACATTTCTTACAAATTCTTTAAAACTTAGAACTTATCTACGCAATCATAGAAACTTTGATAGCGTAAACAGCCTTTAAACTGTGCTGTATCTTACCATAGTCTTGTTAGTTGTTCATGTAGTTCTAGCGTTTCATGTGGTTGTTCAACAGACCGCCTTCCACTCTCAGGTCTGGGTGTTGTCCTCCTAGAACTGTCTGGCGTCTGGTTTCTGCTGCTACGCCGTCCACTCGATGGCCTGGATCTCGTTTTAGGTTGATCAAGTAAACCAGGATCATCTACAAGGGAGAGTTCTGAGTCTTTCTTCTTATCTGCAGTGGAAAACAGATTGTTTTGAAAACACAGTTAGAGAGTGGGATGGTATTATTTTTCAGCGCTTGTGGACTGAGGGCTTATTAGAAAGGTGGACTAGGGCTGAATAGAGGTAATAAAGCATTCAATAGCGGAGTTGACTGGTATAGACCCATTGCACTGATGTCACAAATCCTTAGAGTGTCCTCCAGATGCTCCCTAACAATATCTGTTCGGGTACAACAACCACATACAGCGCAAAAATTAACCATTTTAATACAAAATTATTATAAACTTTTACAAAATTTGCTTTGTTTACAAAAGTTATATCATGCATAGATTGCTAATTTGTCCTCCAGATGCATCATCACCGGCGCTGTGATGTCATGTGCAATGGGTCTATTGGGGGACTAAATTCTGCCAGTCTGGCTCCATATCAATTAATAACCCCCATAAAGCTCTCATCACGACTTTGACAAACATGCAAAACGACATTTCAAAATTGATTCCAGTAACAGGTTAAAGTTCATTGAAACGATCTTTTATGGTCAGAAAAACATTTTTCGCGACACGATTAATCCCAGCTAGCCGGGCTGGCTTGGCTCATATGTACAGCTGAATAACTGTTGAATACTACAATAATAGAAAAACAAATAACTTAATACGTTTGAGAATCGCGATCAATACGTACCGCAATCTGCGTGGTCCAGCCAGTTTACAGAAGTCTGCAAAGAAGTCGACTGCCCGTGACTCGAGGTAGACCTGGAAGAAATTCATATACGTCAAGAACCAGGTGATCTGACGGTGAGCAAAAGGACTGGGACTAGCAACAGAATAGAAATCCAGTTTCGTACATTTAATCATTTGCCACGTCCTGATTCTTTTGTGAAACTGTTTGAAACTTTGTGTCTGTGTCTTGCACAAGGGAAATGAATGCCTGGGACAAATTTGAAGTAGTAATCTAATACCGTTGATGAGACATTGAGTAATTTTAAACCAGAAATGGATTTCTATTTTACAACTAGTGCCAGGCCTTTTTCAAGTTCCGAGATCACCTGGAATATATGTAATCTTATTAAGCCTGGTTCACACTATTAAAGTTTCTGTGATCACAGTATAGGAGGATTGCATTTAGATAAATTCTAAGTTTTGAAGGATTTGTAAGAAATGTTTGATGGAACTGTCTCAGTGTTAAACACCAAGTCAGTTGCGATCCCTCAAATATTTCTAGTAAATCCTTCAAAATTTACCTATGCAAAATTCCTATTGTGATCACAGAAACTTTGATAGTGTAAACTAGATTTTAAGTCTAAGACTGCATAAGTTTATACCCTAATAAATATACCGTTTTTCCTTCATATCGTCCAGCCAAGGTGGTTTTCTAGGAAGTTTCACATTTTCCGTTCTGTTGGAAAATATGAATAGACAACATATGTGAGTAATACCGTAGGTTTATCCTGGCCTACAATATTCTGCCAGGCGAAAAGGATACCTTTAATTCAGCCTATAACAAGCCGGATGCAGCCTAGCCTAGCTTAACGGTATATAAAAGATGCGTGCATGATTTAACCCACCAAGTACCAGCACTCTCCCCTTGACGAGTACAGAATCGTCTGTCGTTAGACAGAGTAAAATAATAAGGGAGCATTAGGGCGCAATGCCATTTAAAGGATTAAAGCACTTCTGCCCATGTTTTGAATAGTATACATATTAGTTTAATAAGACATACTTGGAAAAGTCCTTTTCTCCTGATATTTCGTTTCCATTTTCCACTAATGACTTGAAAATCTCACTGTTTAATAATAGATATAACATGTTAAATATTTTCGGAAATGCTACATTAGGAAGTAAACGACTCGTACAAGGTGAGAAGAATAGAAACTATTAATAAAAACTTATTCAACAACTTTACAGACACGTTTTAATACCTAACTGGCAAAAGTGCATCAATTAGTATATTATTGTATATAAATTTGCCTTACTCTTTCTGAAAAATTGGTTTTGGTCCTCGGTTCTTTGAAGACGTTGTGTCTGAAGATTCCACGACAATGTCAGGTGAACGAGGTTCATCTTCACTATAATGAGGTGTTGGTGATTCACTCTGAACGACCTGGTTAAAATCTTGTTTCTAGGCAGAAAATATGGTATCATATATATGTGAAACAATTTGTATGACCTTACTCTGGTAGCTCAAAATATTAATATACTTAAATTTTTCTTTAATATCTTCAGCCTTCCACGTAGCAGCAGTATATAGCAACATTCTTACAAACCTCCGCACCGCCAGTAATTTCGTCGCTTTTTTCTTTGGATTTCAAATAGACCACTTCAGCGTAATCGTAAATCTGATTTCCGCATCCCTAAAATATAAATTTCCCACTATCATTTTTCAGTTTAAGTTTATGGAGTTTCTCATTCATTGGTGAGCGGATTTCACAACAGGTTATTGCCCAATAAAAGATTCCCCTTATTACGTTTTCGTAGCGCTTTGCATTGTGGTTATAGTGGTATCACTGATAAAGATAGCAGCCTCGAATGAAAATATTGAATGAAAAAATAAGCCATCTTGAATATCAGTGATAACACTATAACCACAATGCAAAGCGCTACGAAACGTAATAAGGGGAATCTTCTATTGATTGGGGATCCGAGGTACCTACGATTTTAACGTCCTTATCCAAAGACGCAAAAATTTAACCATTTACTGATGCCAGTGTAAAGGTAGCTCTTTCTCCTCTGTTTATTTTTAAGACCTCGAGTAGAGGTCCGACCAAGGATTGAACCCGGATCTCCTAGCTTGAAAGGCAAGCGTGTGCTGGGTTTTAATCAATCAACAATGGACCAACAACCAAACAAAAACATATCAACCAATCAGAAAACGCTATCGACACCATCCACTGTAATTTTAGCCCATTGGCAAAGCACAAGAATGAAGTTACCGATGATAAATGTGGTGTATATTTGCTACACTATACCTTATCAATTATACCATCCCAAACCAAACTTCCATTTGTAAATATTTTCACTTCCTTCACACCAACACTTAAATCCTTAACAACCAAAATACATAATTAACATGAGTTTCTATACAGTATTTCCGCAAATGCCTCTTTTTTCAACATCTTTTTAACTTTTCGATGCTTGAAATCACTATTAAAAAACTCCTTTCAGCTTATAAATGACATGATATAACAATAGCATAACAATACAGTATCACACAGTCACGATCCAGTGATATGAATATTTCATTGTCTTTTCACTGTTTTGGACATTCCAATGTTCTCCATGCCACCCAGTCGCTTACTGTTTTGACTTAGATTAAAATTGATGCAAAGGGCTGTTATAAGCTATTAAATTATAAGGCTCGTTTACACTGATCAAAGTTTCTGTGATCACAGTAGGAATTTTGCATGGGTAAATTCTAAGTTGTGAAGGATTCGTAAGAAATGTTTGAGAGAACTGACTTAGTGTTAAACACTGAGCCAGTTCCCTCAAACATTTCTTACAAATCCTTCAAAACTTACTTTACAGAATTTACCTGTGCAAAATTCCTACTATGATCACAGCAACTTTGATAATGTAAGCCAGATTAGCATTTATGCAAAGGGATGTTGTCGAACATAGGTCGATAGTTACACAAAGCGAACCTTCATTTTCTTGTTATAATTCCAAACTTTGATCTTTGCTACATTGTGCTCTCCCGTCGTCCACTGACAGGGAATTTGGAAAGACAACGTGATGACTTCTCCAGAGGAGTAAGGACATTTCCACATATATCTTTCATTGCTAGTCTGTCAAAATAAAATACTCGCTCGGGACATTGAAGTGCTATTTAATTTTCTTCAAGCAGTTCAGACACCAACTACGCTAGCTCATATAAATACAATATTTTAGATATTTATATTAATTTAGATATAGCTAATCAACTTTCCAACAACCGGTCCCAAAATAACTTTTGAGCTTATTATTAAAGTTAATTGGCTCATTAATTAATTAATTTAAACTGATTAATTAATTAGCTAATTCACTAATTGAGTTCAAAAGTTATTAAGTAATGAACTATTTAATTAGCTATTTTTTTTTTACTTTTATAAAATATAATTTTTTTAATAACATAATATAATTAGCTAATTAGTTAATTAATTAGCTAATTAGCTTACCTTTTTTAATTAGCTAATTAATTAGTTAATTAATTAGTTAATTAGGTTAGCTTACCTTGGTTTTGCCGTTGATCAAATTTGATAAAGGGCTTTGACCTTTGGTTTCAGTGGATAAACTGATTTGATGTTTTGGGACATTGATAAGCAAACCATCACAGTCGAAAAACTGAATCTACAAAATTGAACAGAAATAAAGGATTGTGTCGAACTTAGTTGTCTCTTATAGCAAAAATAACCTAGATAGGATTTGGTAATAGTAGTATGTCCAATCACACGCACCTCTGTAAGACCGATCTCTGAAGGGTGACTCCAGTTTGATTTTATTTCAAATTTCACTTCCAAACTGTTGCTTTTATCAGCTGTAGGTTTTATTTCTGTTTCCTAAGAAAATATCAGAATGGTAAAGCTCAAGTAGATTTTGTATGGTGAGGTACAGTATAGTATGGACCATGATGGTATGGTGTGGTTTGGTATGGAAAGGTATGGTATGGTGTTGTAGGTTATGGTGTGGTATGGTATAGTATGTTACGGTATGGTATAATATGGCATGACATGGTATATGGTATAATATGGCATGGTGTGATATGGTATGGTATATGGTATAGTATGGCATGATATGATATGATATGGTATATGACATGGTATGGTATGGTAGGGTGTGGTCACACCATGCTTAACTATGGCATGAAATGGTAACCTTACCAGAACATCGTCTCTAGGTGATAGAGATTCTGTTGGTGAAGATTCTGGAGATCCAAACGCAATTGATGGTTGCACTTTAGTAGGAAGGAAAACGCTTTGAGCTACAGTAGGATCCAATTTAGCCAAAAGATGCAGCAGCTGTTTCTGTTGACTGTATGAAAACATACGAGAGTTGATAATTGTCCTTGAAGAGAACTAATACAGTAGCACACTGTTTAGTTCATATAACAACGATCTACTCCCCGCATTTCCAATTGCAGTTGACCATTAAAAATTTCACTTCAGTTGTAAATGTGACAAGAGTGTTTCCACGCAGACTCTGTGTACTATCTTGATAGTATATGGTACTTTAAAAAACTCATTAATAATTCGTGAAGAAAATACAAAAGAAATGAATGCTTAATCAATGTATATCAGATAAAGATCGGCTGCTCATGTTTTATCTAGTACTTAGAACTGAAAAAGCTACCTACCTGACCTTAAAACAATGTTGACTTTTTTACCAACGGCAAATCCTTACCTAGCATTCATATTGCGAACTTTTTTTGTAACCATAGCAACCGTCTCATTGGTTATTGGACTTGTCGAATCACTCTCATTTTTCAATGGAGATATTTTATCGGATTGCTTCTGGGACGACTCTTTGACGATTTCTGAGAAAAAGAAAAATTTATTAAAATAAACAATATATTTAAAATAAATTACATATGTGAAACATTAGTAGGTTTGAGACTGCCCAAAGTTTCTTTGAACAAAACACAGTGTAATTCTGTGGGATACCAGACACAAATTTCATGTTATTTTCTATTTGCCATCATACCGACTTGATCGTTTTCCAAAGTCACAGCGTCTAACACATCTTGCGAGCTATTAAGGACAAAACTTGATTCTTGTTTCTTACGAGAGGTTGTAGACAAGGCATGTGGTCCACGGTCGTCATCTTTAGTTTGTAAACTTGTTACCCTAATGAAAAAAAACCAAACACTATACCACTCAGACGGAAATTAATATATATTTATTAAGCCCAGGCCTTAAAATATCGGTCAGAGAACCGTCTGAGAAAATGTTCGACGACTTTGAGTTTGGGGCGGACATATGTATTGTGATGTCCGATGACTTTGAGATCAGTTTGGCTTGGAAATAAGTATGAATGCAGATACAAATTAATATCAGCACAATTTGTTTTACGTTGGACAAAGTCACAGTTAGGTCGGACACCACTTCACTTCGGTATGCCATACCTGTTCTTGGTCGTTTGTTGATGGTAAGGTTTCCTATCTTTAGATTCTTCCCTATCTTCTATGACGTCTGTACTTTTTCTGTGCAGTGTAAAAGAAATGCAGTTATTACGTTTTGCCAAGCTTCCTTAATTTCACGTTTCACTGATGTTCGAATAATTACAAATACATGTACAATACAGCATGCTATTTACCTGGTTGCTGACAAAAGCCTTTTTGCTGGTTTACCTGATAAAAGGTTGATACAAGAGGTTTTAGAACTCAATAATTCATGAGGAAAAGACACAGGAAATCAATACCGTGTCGATGGTTTTATATGTGATAAAAAATCATATTAATTTACATAAACTTTAGCTTTGATTTTCTCGAAGACAACGTTGATTTTTAAAATTACTTCGCCAATGAACTCATAAGATGGGTCTTTTTCAGCCATTTAAAACACTCGCAGTCCGTGCTTTATCAGATATAAGATACTCGGCCATCGCCTCGTGTTTTATATCTGATAAAGCACTGCTGCTCGTGTTTTAATAAACTGCTCTACCTATAGAGGTCCAATAAAAGAAACCCTTTTTGGGCGAGTGGTAAAGTCAAACTTTGAAGCACTATTTTCAAATGAACACATGAATATATCGATTATCCAACGACATCACCTCGTAAAACCACTCGACTACACCACAGAATAGAGACCACACGGAAGGTCAACTCCTTATCGGCGCCTGCGATTTTGGCGTAACCGTTGCAATGTTGTCGCCATGTTAACGTTCCTGGCCAGTGCGCTTACGAGAGGCATTCACCCCCCTGAAAACATGTAAAAAAGGCGGACATTCAGGAGGGTGAATGCCTCTCGAAGATGGTGCTCACATTTTGATGAGAAAGCATTGCGAATCATGGCGTGGCGGCGGTTACGCTTTTTTAGCAATTTAGCTGAGTCGGCTTTCTGTTTCGTGTCAACGTTGCTCATTATGGACGTTTCAAAGTAGTTGAGTTTTCAGACCACATGCCAAATGACAATGATCGCTTGGGGTACCAGCTGTGCCACCAAGATCCACACTTACCTTTAGAAAAAGATAGCACAACGGTATCTTCCTCAGTTTTGTTTGTATGAATCACAGGTCTTGCCGATCTCAAAGCTTCATTCGCCGTATCTTCATAAATCACATAACTACCCCTCAACTGAGGGATACTTTCAACTACATTACTATCTCTCAAATCTAGACTTGTATTAGCTGTCTCAATATCCTCTTCAATCTCTTCCGCACTGTCATGTTCATTATTATCCTCGGAGTCCTCGATATCCTTGATGTCAAGGTGGTCATGTGGTCTGTCTGCATCAGTTTTATCCTCGTCACTTGAGGAGTCACACTGATAGGAAAAAACAGAATATTAACTTATTAAGTTGGGATGCGCTCTAATGCACCCTATTTGATTGTCTACTCAGCTGCAAAACACACAATTAACATAGTTCTTAACAAAAACCTGGAAAAAGATCAACACAATGCAGTGCCTGATGATTCTTTCACAGGCACTCAAAAATGTTTTTAAAAAATCTTCCTGAAATGCATGAAAAGGCTCTTACTAGAACCAGTCCCCAAAGTTCGTTAGAATGGGCACAAGTCAGATTCAGTGCTGTACTTACTTTAAAAACCAAACGGCCTTCATTGGGTACAAATCATAAAGAGCTAACCTCAATCACAGTTTGGATGCTTTCCAGAATTCTGCTGTCCCTTTCTAGACTTCTTCGTAGTTTCTGCAATAACCACGAAAGAACTGTTTACTCTGCCGGTAGTGTATTTTCTTTGCATTGCACTGTAAAGTATACTCCACTCTACTCTACTCTACTGTAGTACATTGTCTATCAAGATATGATGGGCTGGAAACTAAACAGAGGTCACTGTGTTATGTACAATCACAGTGATTCAGATTTTTGTATAATGAAGTAATCGTCCAATAGGGATAGCTGAGATGAAACGTGCAACCACGATGAATAATATCTAATGAAGTTGAGACAAAGAATTTGTGCACGGTGGGGTACAGTTCAACATCAAACAAAGCTCTTCTATTTTGTGGCTTTGAACTTTGCCAGGCGTCTTAACAGACTGTGTATAGTCTGTACTGTACTGTATTCTGTAAGTTATAGTACTGTGCTGTACTCCAGTGTGATGTACTGTACTGTACTGTACTGTACTGTACTGTACTGTACTGTACTGTACTGTACTGTACTGTACTCTGACTATTGAACTCTACTGCACTGTATAGTCTGTACTCCAATTATATTTTACATACTGTATTATACTACGTACATGTACATCGTTAAAACTTAATGACAATTCTTCAACATGATCACCATCACTTTCTTCGTCACTAATATCTGATGCTTCACTCTGTCAATGAAATACGATTATATGAAGTAAATATATACACAAAAATAACTGTAATACAATTATTATTTATAATATAGCATTTGTAAATTCTGAACACTGATTGGCTAAGAGCCGTGTTGATATAACTCAATGTCAACACGGGAAATTTTCCGCCGCTTGTAAACACGGAAATTTTTCTTACCCTTCGGGCTTTTGACATTGCTATATTATAAAAAAAATATAAAACATTTTTTCCGTATTGATATATAGTTATATCAACACTCGTGGAAGTTGGGAAAACTCGAAATTGTATGAAAACACTCCGCCCTTCGGGCGTCGTGTTTCCATACAATTTCTCGTTTTCCCAATTCCACTCGTGTTGATATAAATGTATATCAACACGGAAAATGTTTTATATTTGTTAAGTAATAGCATAGTTGCCCGGGTTTCTTTTGTTTCAACAGGGACGTTTAATCACGTATCGCCCGCTGTAGCGGGCGATTAGTTCTAATCGCCCGCTAGAGCGGGCGATTAGAACTAATCGCCCGTTACCAAGGGTCACACCTTTGTCTCCCTGACGACTACGCATTAGGCAAGTGCCTCACGCACATAATCGTGCAAGGAACAGCAACAGTTGGCTCAGAGCCGTCAATAGTCTATCATCCGATCCCTGAGTTGCCGCATCATTTAAATTACGCACGTGCAGTCTCCAAATTTATACTAATATATTTAGCGTGTTTGTTGTGGTACGTTAAATGATAGATTGCGCATGCGTAACCGATTAAAGCGTAAAAGTGCGCATGTGCAACAAGCTTTTACATCCCACAAGCAATGAAGCAAATGTTTTAGCTTAAATACGCTGATTCCAAGTAGGGCATGTTTGTCCATTTTTAAATGGGAGCGAAACTATGCTATTACAAACTAATAGCATGGCTTTTCGGGAGATTAGTGATTAAATGACCCCTTACCCTCGGCAGGTTTGCGAAATTCCCTCGGGCTTCGCCCTCGGGAATTCCGCAAACCTGCCTCGGGTTACGGGGCCATTTAATCACTAATCTCCCTCAAGCCATGCTATTACTTATAATAATATATATTATACATAGTCTAATGACAAATGGTTTCCGATATAATCGATGTAAAAGAGTCTCCAAAAATCTCTACGGCCAGTAAAGATTGATTTGCATACAACACACAAAAGACGAGATATATCAAGACTATTTCACATACGATTTGGACACGATAGTTACAACCAAATGGATGTAAACTTCACTTCATTACAGTGTTCGCACCTCGCTACTTCTGTCCTCTATTTCATCAAAGTCTTCACTGTAAATTCCAGTTACTTTTCCTAAAATCAATTACTTCACATTACTCATTTCACAACCAGCAAACTGTAAGGGCCTTCGCACAAAACGTCGAAGATCTTTTTATATTTTCATGTAGTTAATGTACACTTCCTATAAATTAGATCGCTATATACTGTACCTGGTACATTAACGTTCAACTTTTCACCCTGTTCAGTTTTGATTCGAAATCCAACCTTTATAAAGATTCATTGGCAATTAGCTCTCTCCAAAGGTGTAGGGTTCCCCACAGGATTTGGAGTAAGTTTTTAAAAGAAATAGGTAACGCCCACCTTGGGGGTCTGGCATCGTATCCCTGGGAAGATTTTGAAATTTGGACCCTTTGAGAGGGTGCGATAATTCGCGTACTTACGAACCGGAGGTACGCCAATATTACGGTCTGGTACTTCTTTGTGTTTAACCAATTACCGCGTAGGTACGCAGAATTATTGCTGTCTGCGTACTTACATTTTTCTGGTACCACATGACCTTTCCAAGCCTAAGGTATGTAATACCGTATCTTAGTTGGTATATGTGTCAGTCTGAGATGTCTTGGCATAAAACATGATTGGACTGATGGCACTAAAGAATGTTGGAGTCGACTGTTTGTATTATGCAATTGTGCTTCTTGTTCTAACTCGTAATTTGAAGAGCTTTCAGAAACTTGTACTTTATGTACTGTGTTTTAAAGACTAAGTAAAAAATTGAGCATTGAGTTTGTACTAGCTCAAGTACGCCGCAATAATCATCGGAGTACCAGTCTCCCAGTCAGGTATGACTGAAAATCTTCAAGAAGCAAGAAGCCAGATTAAAAACTTCAATGACATCTGCAAGAAGCCAGATTAGAAACTTCTGAGGGATACAACTATGAAACTTACTGGTTTCCATTCTTTTCTGGTCAGTTTAGTTGGAGCAGTTTTTGCTCTGCTTGTCTCCCTGTCAATGTAAATAAAATGATTTAACCCATTAATGCCCAGTAGTGTATTGAATCCCTTTTATGGGTCTCGTCTTCTGTAACACTGAAGTGAAACCCAGACATACGGGAAGCCTTGATGGAAATAACGGCTTTGTGCTTCCCTTTAATCATTTGCCTGATTTTTAAGTAGAATTGCCTGATTTTCAAATAGAATTGGCCGATTTTTATGTAGAATCTGCCATAAGCGCAGTCCCCCAATAATTTTTTAGTCTGATATAAGATAAGTGTCAGTCAACTAACTTACTTGGTATCCTCATTCAACTGAAATTCGCTTGTCAATAATTTTCTGGATGATGAATGCTCTAAATGAAAACTAGGTTTCTACATGTCTTATACAAGTTGGCATATACATTGCTTGGCTACGCTGTGCTGTGGATCACCTTAAAATTATCAATACCTTACCAGCAAGCTAAGAGTTTGCTGGAAATCAGACATAACGATAGAAGCTCAACACTAGTTATGTTTTCCAGTGGGAATGCCATACTCCCACTATTTTCACTGGGAAAGGTGTTCCCCCTGACAACCCCACACAGGTAGAAGCAACCATGCCCAATTAAGTGACCACGCCCATTTAATTTTAACGAGCATTCTCCACTTCTGAATTTGGAAAACATCACTGCTCAACAAAATTATGGAACAAGAACCAATGCAAAGTTTAATTAAAAAATTCTTACAACAATTGGTACAATGGAAACATTACCATCAGCAGTCTTGGTCCTTCTTGATGTTGGTAAACCTGTAAATTCTCTATTTGCTCCATTGATATAAACTGAGAAACCTTGTTCCCTTTTCTCTAACTCAACTTGTTCTTCACCTTTTGTCTTCAGTCTTTTCAGAAGTCTGTTTGAAATTAAATTTAATGAATAACCCTTTAAGTGGCAATGCACTCTGATTATAACACAAGACAAGGCCTGAAATTTGCAGTATCCCGATATCCATAGGACATACTAAAATTTGATTTTACATACAAAACTGTGAATGACTTGTATCCTGATTGGATATCATAAAATCTCCTCAAACATCCAATAGCTTTGAATACTATGAGTCTGGTGGCATAATGCTCATTGGGTAGGGTTAGTTAAAAAACTAATGGCCCCCATCAGTCACAGCCTATCGCCCAGAAAATTAGAAAATGTAAAAAATGCAGGTTAAGAATCAATGGGAAAATGCAGCAAAATTAATAATGCTAAATAATAAAGCCTCCATCAGCAACAGTAGCTGATTTTTATATTCAATCTCAAAAATAAAACAAAAGTTATTCTTATCAATGGACCTTTCCCCTTATAACTAAAATTTCGATCTAGACAAAAATTTCATCACAGCTTGAAAGAGCATCACAAAATTAGTAATATTCCAAAGTTTTGTTGCAAAATCTTGTAAAATGCAGATAATATAGCCTTGCGAAGTTTGCCGTTTTTCAGTCATTTTGTATTACAAACGGGATATTGACATACGATTCGGGTGTTGGGGCTGCAATTTCCCATTTGTAATGCACAATGACTGAAAATTGCAAACTTCGCAAGGCTCTATTTTCCTCATTTTACAACATTTCGCAACGAAACTTTGGAATATTACTAATTTTGTGATGCTCTTTCAAGCTGTGATGAAATATTTGTCTAGACTTGCCTAGATCAAAATTTTGGTTATAAGGGGAAAGGTCTATTAATTAGTTGTGTTGGAGATTGTTGTTGTTATTGTTACAGACACAGAATTTTCCAGAACATTCTATATTCAATATAAATATAATATCTCAGTCAAACAATTACAACAGTCAACAGGTCCCCTCATTTTTGGGAGTTCAGCTTACCTATTTCTTTTTTGTAACAACCATAAATATTCATCATAAGCTACCGAAGCAACATCTTTTCCTCCACTAGGCTACAAATGTAAATGTAGAGCATTAAAATTTTTGGAGACAGGCAGACAGGCTGCATTAGTTATAAAATAAGAGGAAGAAACTGGAAATCTTGACTGATTTAGCAGATGTGGAAACTTTACATCAATGTTGGGTATTCATGTTGTCATTCAGCACATTCTCCAATACCCTGGGGTTTTTTTAATCTTTAATTTCAGGAAGCTTTCTCACAAAGTGATTTTCAGAAAGGTCCTGAACTAAATAAACTATTTTACATGGAAGACATGCATATACTACATAACTATGAAAAATATTTTAAAAATTATACGAGGGAAAGTTCAAAGATTGCTAAAAAAGTTAAAGAGGTTTAAAAAAAACCTCTGGTTGAAAGCTGCAATTGATTCATCGAGCCACGCCAATCAGTTTGAATTAGGGTCAGATCTTGACTCTGTCTCCTGATTGGATGATTGTATTAAAGCTCTCTGATTGGTTATAGATGTTTTATTTGAATCAATCAGAGAGCTTTAATACAATCATCCAATCAGGAGACAGAGTCAGGATCTGACCCTAATTCAAACTGACTGGCGTGGCTCGACAAATCAATTGCCGTTTTCAACCAGAGGTTTATTTTTCCTCTCCCCTTCACAATGAAAATAATAAAAATAAACCTCTGGAACCAGGGTAATTCTCCAGGGCATCATACATTATTCTATCACCCACCAGAAAAATTAGCATCAACTAATGTCAACCAAAATTCATTCCCATGATTTACTGTATGCAACTTGCAGAGATACAGAACACGCACACACTGACACAGCCAGGAAAGCCACACTCCCTTGCAAGAGAGCATGCAATTTATAAAAAAATCTTGATGCTGTTTTAACCCACCTGGTCTGATAATTTAGGAGCATTAGGTCTTTGCTGTTTGGCCTTGGAGATCTGCCTATGTGATTCTAAATATATAATTTATAGTTCATGTAACTATTTCACTGGCAGATGAATGCCAGGGGGCTTCGGTAGCGCAGTCATCAGAGCAAGCGCCTCTCACCTCTGAGATCATGGGTTCAATTCTACCAATAAGGCAATTTATATTAGCTTTTTGAAATCAACCATCGATTATATAGTGCAGTGCATCAAAGAATTACGCTGTAATACTAATAGCGCAAAGTTTTCCACACATATTGTGGGTTCCTTATTTGTAGTTCTGTGGCTTTTCAGGCATTTCTACAAAGCTTGAGAGTCACTGGTGACAGCACTTAACATTGACAGCACTGTATGACCTTCTTACACCTGGCACCTGAAATATGTCCTAGTTCAAACAAAAGATGAATTGGTAGCAAAATACTCATAATTCCACTTAGGCACTTTAAAGTCACTAGAGTACAACGTGCACTCAATATTTTGCACTAATTATAATATTTTGCTACCATTTCAAAATTCCACAGGCAATTTAGGCTCGCAAACCATAGCAACAATCACGTCGATATGAACTATAGGTGTTTAACCATAATTTAACACCTTTTTTCTTAAATAATAACATATTAACTTTCATTATATACTAAATTATTACTGTACTAGGTCTAGAAACACAAACATGTTATCAACATATTACAGTACATGTACTACAGACTGTACTAGCAACAACAAACTTTATCGAAAATATCTTCTTCAATATTCAATAATAAACACGGATAGTGCACACATACTTTCCATTATTGGCTTGCAATATTAAGAGCATTTTCAATTCTTCATGAGCACACGAAAGGACAGTAGAATTGAAAAGGAAACAGCTGAAAATAACGAAGCAAGATTCACCAAAAATCAAAACAAACTGAAAGTTTTGGGTTAGCACTATTTTCCATCCAGCAAACTGACCTGACGTCATTTTCGCAAGATAGAAGAGGTGTTAAATGGCTATGTAACTAACCCAAACCCTACCCCTACTCTAACCTCTAACCCCTAACCCTAACCCCAACCTCTACTCTAACCCTAACCCTAACCCTAACCGAATTAACAAAAAAATCCAAAAAGAAACGACTTTACAAAATCGATAGGGCGGTTTGCTGGATGGAAAAAAGTGCTAGCCAAAGTTTTGATGCACGAACTTTGCGAAAGAGACTGAGTACCAAAAGCCGAAGAACACTGATCTGTATCCTAAAACCTAAAACCTAAAACTGGAGCGAGAAACGAGGAAAATGTTATCACCGAAGCCGAAAGACAGAGGTTTCGTCCAGTTTTATTTGCCGAAAGATTAAAGAGTACCACTGCCGTACGCAAGTTCGTTCATTTCAATTTCACACAAGTTTTAGTACCATTCATTTAATTATACAATGTATTTGCGTTCTAACAAGTAAAATATCGTGATATAGAATATTTCAAATCAGCAAATTTACAACTAACGAACATTGGGCCATTCCATTTAATATCTACACCCCCTGTCGACGACGTCTTCCAATTTCACACCCCTAAGAAGCATGTTTTTATAAGTCCCCCTCGGAAATTCGTCAGAATTTTGAAAGCCCTTCAGAAATTTGATGTTTTCTTCTATATTCTTAAGGAAACTAAGTGAC